CAAAACCACAGAGAGAAAGGACATGAGAATTAGATCTTTTCCCTTCACCCTTGGATCTCAGTTCTCACTCCCATCCTCCACCTCCAGGTGCTGGTGCCTGCCACAATCTGGCACCAAGATTGGTGAGACCCCCTAGTATCAGAAGACACCATCAAATGAGATGGGGTATCCCTGAGCACTGATTGTCAGGAAAGTCAACTACCCCGTACCCACTGACTGTGAGGGAAAGAGAGGAGAGCTTTGTGAAGGTGATGCACACTCAGGCTGGGATGCCAGCAGTGTCTGGGTCCCAGCCTATGAAAAGTGGTCCACTTATAACCTCTCCCCCTAGAAAAGAATGAGTCAAAATTTAACTGAAGCTGAGGGTAGAGCCCGAGATTATGAAAGAGGCAAAGATGGAGATCAGTTCATTAGGTAATGAACAGAACCCCATGGCTGGGGCAGCTAGGTGGCACAGCGGATAGAGCGCCAGGCCTGGATTCAGAAAGACCTGAGTTCAAATCCATCCTCAGACATTGGCTGTATGAACCTGGACAAGTCACTTAATCCTGTTTGCCTCAGTTTCCTCATGTGTAAAATGAGCTGGAGGGGGAAATGCAAACCACTCCAGTATCCTTGCCAAGAAAAAGTCACAAAGTCAGACATGACTGAAACAATTGAACAACAAACATAGAAAGTCAAGGGTAAGAGATCCCTTAGAGCATAGAATGTCAGAATCAGGAGGGACCTTAGGACAGAGAAGATCCTTCTCTGGCTAAAAGAGCTCTTAATAATACCCTAGTCTAAGCTCTTCATTCTAGGAAATTGAAACCTAGAGACAGGAAATGATTTTCTCAGGGTCACATAGAACTAGAGCCCAAGCCTTCTTTTTTTTAAAAATTAATTTATTTTGAATTATCAACAAGAGCCCACACGTTCTTGTTCATATCCCAAGACTCCTTCCACTGCACAGTAGAGGGACAAGGGAGCCAGTGACTATTTCTTCCCTGGACAGACCTAGAAAATACATTCTCAGGGAAGGAGAGGGTGACCAGGTGAGTTGCCCCCTCTCCATCACTCTATAACCTGAAGTCCTGGGAGTCAGACTAACTCCCACTGGGAGAGAGAACATGAGAAGAGACTGCTCAGGGCCCCTCCCATCCTTCTCCCTTCCCTGCATACCCTCCTTCACCTGAGCTCCTCTGTCTCCAGACTCCCCTGATTTGTATTCTCAAGATCACCGAAGCATAGGATTTCTATCTGGAAAGGACATTAGAGATCTCTATCCGGTGTCCTCGAAAGCTCCCATGGGCTTAATTACCATCTCTGTGTAGCTGACTCCTGATTGATTTACCCAATCTCGGTGTCTCTTGAGCACCAGTCTCCCATCACTGTCTGTTGGACATTTCAAGCTGCAGGTCCCCTTGGCATCTCAAACTCCACAAGTCTAAAGCTGAACTTATTATCTTTTCCCCAGGCCCTCCCCTCTTCTAAACCTGCCTATTTCTGTCCACGGCATCTCCACCCTTCCAGCTGTCCTCAATGCCTCACTCTCTCTCACTTTCCATGTAGCCAGCCAATCGATTGCCATATCTTGCCATTTCCAGACCTCCTCACCTGAATATTGAAATAGCCTCCTACCTGGCCTCCCTGCTTCCCCTTCTTACTCCAATGGCTCCCTTCGGTCTCTATGATCAAATATAAACTCCTCAGTTTGCTTATTAAAGCCCTCTGCAACCTGGCTCCTATGTACCTTTCCAGGTATTAATTACATAGCTCTCTCCCTTCCCACCCTCTAGAGTCCAGTTGGCTGGCAGGCTCTCTATTCCTCACATATGACCTTCCATTTCCCACCTCCCTACCTTTGCACTGACCATCCTCCCTGCCTGGAATGCCCTCCCTCCTTATCTCTGCCTCATATGTAAAATGAGCTGGAGAAGGAAATGCAAACCACTCCAGTATCCTTGCCAAGAAAACCCTACATAAGGTCACAAAGTCAGACATGACTGAAACAATTGAACAACAAACATAGAAAGTCAAGGGTAAGAGATCCCTTAGAGCATAGAATGTCAGAATCAGGGGGGACCTGCTCTTCCTGAAGCAGCATTTTCTGCTTGAAACCTTTCCTGATGTCCCCCAAGTGCCAGGACCCTCCCTCCCAGACAACCTGGGATCTAACATTTGTGTGTTTGTTTTTAATCTACTTATTCTATTTGTTGTGTGTGGCTTTGTTTTGTTTTGTTTTATTTTGTTTTCTTCTTTTTTTTTTTTTGGTGAGGCAATCAGGGTTAAGTTTTGTTTTGTTTTTTTAACTGTCTCTTCACCTTGTCCAGGCTAGAAATACAAGAGTCCCTCACTCACTGACCAGTCCTGCCTCAGAACAGCTTTGACCAACTCTATTTCTGACCTAGGTCAGTTTGCCTTTTCTTCGGCACGTAGTAGGTGCTTAAAAATGCTGGTTGATTGATTAATCATTCAGTCCAACCCCCTCATCTGACAGTTGAGGACACTAAAAGGAGGTGACTTGCCCAAAAGGTTCTGGACCTGGGTGACCAAGTCTTTGGAAATGTTTCTGAACATCAATGAGGTCTCACCACATGGAGGGCACTGGGGCTGGGGCATCAAGGCTCTGTGAATTCTGGCGAGATGGGAATGCCGTCCTTCCACCCACCTCTCTGGAACGTCATGGTTGTGGGCAGTCAGAAGGGAACTTGGTGGCCATCTAATCCACCCCGCACACAAAGAGTTCCCACCAACATCCCCAACAACGAAAACCCCCCAGGAGAGGGAACCTGCTACCTCCCTGGGCAGCCCATTCCCCTTCTGGACAGCTCCCCGAGTCAGAAAGGGCTTCCTTCTATCAAACCACCCTTTATTCCTGGTTTGGCTCTCTAGGGCCAAGGAGAGCAATTGTAATCCTTCTTTCACACAACAGACCTTCAAAAACTTGGATAGCCAATAAGCCCGGTTCTGCCCGCCCCCCACACCCTGCCACCCCCTTCTTCTCCACCCCAAACACTGCTCTGCCTCATTTAAATCCAATTCACACCCCAAGTCCTCAATGATGCCATTGGTCCTCTTCTAGAATGAAGGCTAACAGCAACATCCCCAAACCACCTCAATTGGTTGTCTCCTCCATTGGATTTTGAGGTTCTAAAGAACAAGGTCTATATTTTGCCTCTTTTCATATCCTCAGTGCTTGGCACATAGCAGGGGCTTAAGAAATGTTTCTTGACTGACTCACTAGGGAAAGAGATTGTTCCATGACTTCTCTCTTTTAATAAAGTGCCTCTAAAAAAGAAAGATCACTCCTCATGAAAGAGGACACCCAAAGACTCCAGGAGAGAAGTTATACCTAAGGATAAACATCAGCCCCAGCCCCACTCCACCCCTACCTCCCCAGGGAAAGAAGCCAGTCCTGGAACTTCTAGAAAAGGTTACTCCCAGGGCCTCAGGGAGATAGAACACCATCCCCAAAAATGTCAGGAAAGAAGGTCTCCGTTAGAGAGGACCCTTCCAATGACTCAGAGAAAAAACATCACACATACCTTTAGGTTCTGAAAGAGGTCAGTCACCCACAAGGAGAAATGTCACTGAGTGCTCATACATATCATGCTTCCAGGGAGAGAGAGATTCTTCCTAAGAAATCATCCCTTTATCTCCAAGAAAGAGGTCATACTCAGACCCATACTCTCAAATTGAGCTTGCCTGCCCCCTCTCCCATCCCCTAGGCAAGGAGGTCAGTCCTAAACTGTCAGGGAGAGATTTCCTCCATCCCTAGAAGATAGCACCAAACATCCCAAGGAAAAAAGCTCTCCCTAGACCCCCAGTAAGAGGAGACTTTCTCAGGCAGAGAGGACTTCTGCCTAATAAGAGACCTCCAAGTCCTTAAAAAGAGATCATACCTAGGGAGAGAGGTCATTCCCTGTCCCTCAGAAAGGCTTTCCCCCAGGCCGTCAGAGATAACCGGAAAAGGCTAGTCTTAGTGACAGGGAGACAGATCAACCCTAGGTTTTTCTCCCCACCCCCTTCCCATCTCTACCAACCAAGTCCTAAAGGGAAATATAGGTTGTGGGAGAGAGATCATCCCCAGAGACAGAGGTCACCCTCTATCCTCTATCCTGCTCCCATATCCTCTCAGATAAAGATCACTCCTCCCAGGCCTCCAGGAAAAGAGGACACACCTCCCACACACACTGAATAATTCTCCACCCTAGGAGAAGAAAGACTTCTTTCCAGAAAGAAGAAAGTATTTTGTCTTCTCCCGCCTCCAGACAATGAGACTGAGACACAGGAAACAACCCCTAACCCACAGACCTTTTACCTTCAGCCCCATCACCTAGCTTTCATCAGATGAAGCTGGTCTGAGATGCCCAACAAGCTGGGAAAAAAAGGAACTGGCCTCTAGAATTTTTCTGGGAAGAAAGTGAGCGGGGGTCCCCGGCAGAGGAGTATCAGGACATGGGAACACCTAATGAAGTTTAGAGTTCCCACTTTCAGGCTCTGCTGTCCCCTTAGCTGAAGAGATGCTGTCAGCAAATGAGACCCTAGGCTATCTGGGGAAGATGCCTGCTGGAAGTGAGCACACTCCCAAAGAGACATCCCACCCAACCTTGCCCTGGAGTGTGTACCTGGGAGTGACTAGTTTCCCTGAGGGTCTGGGAGTGATTTCTCTCCCAGAGTCCCTCCCAGGAGAAACCTTGCATTAAGGGGACTTTCTTTTCCCCAGGAAGAGAGATTCCTTCTTGCCAGAGGGAGTTCTAGGGGCAGGACTCAGCTGATGGCCCGCAGCACCCAACCCCACCTTCACCCCCAACCAGGACAGAAGGAGAATTCCCCTGCATCTACACACCTGGCTTCTGAACTGGCTCCTCCTTGCTGGCAGAGGTGCTGGGCACACACCTGCTAGCTTGGCAACCAATCAGAGCCTCACCTCCAGACTGAGCAGGTGGGCGGGGCCACTCACCCAGAGACCATAAATAGCACCTAAGCAGGGAATGAGTACTACTAGGGAGAGGGAGCACACCTTTCCACTTGGTTATTGGGTGGACCAGACGCCGTAGCCCTGGGGAACACCACTGGTTACTGTAGACATTGACGCCACAATTTTTCCCTGCCAGCAGAAGCCACAAGATACCTGTGCTACCCAGAGTAGGAAGAAGAGGGATCAACCACAGGTTTGACAACTTACAAAGGAGCCAGAAAAAATCCCCCCAAGAGGACTTGGGAGTTGATTCCCAAGTCACCACCCCACTCCTTGGCCCTGAGGGCCAAGCTGGGCCTCAGCTGGCAGAGCAGCACCCGGCAGAGTATGACCACCTCCCACTGACCCGGAAGCCCAGGTAAGTCTGCCCACCACACTTTCTGCTGCTGTGAAGGGCTTGGGGCTGCCTGTTGGCCACTGGCCAGAGAAGGACTTTGGGGATGGGTGGGTCCAGGGATGTCCTACCCCTACACCCCCCCACAGCAGTGTCAGGGGCTAACTGGGCTTGGAAACATTTCCCTTGGGTGAGTGAGTGAGTGAGTGACCTCCGGTCTGGAGTATAGTTAATGAAACTCCCTTACAAACAAGCCATCAGAGTGGCAAGAAGGGTAGGAAAGTCTAGGCTCCTAGTCTCCCTCTCATCCACCCTGAGCTGTCTATCCCCAAGCCTGGCTAGTTGGCATTTTAGGCAGCCAGGCCTCCAGGGCATCTCTAACTAATCCAAAATCGGTATCCTGGCTGATGACTTGCACACAGCCACCCTGAAGTGACCTGGTGATGGCAAGTCACATGCAGGGGAGACTTATTCTCCCCACACCCCTTCCCTCCTCATCCCCTGGGGCCAATTTTGGCAGGTGCCAAATACTTAGTGCCCCTTGGAATGCCAGGCATCCTGGACTGGACCAGTTTGGAAGGGAGCAGAGGCCAGTCTTTGCTTCAGGCCAGCAGGAGTATGAGGACTTCTATTTAATCTCAAAAATACCAAGGATCCCCAAGTGAGGACCGAAACTGACTACGAATTCAGGGATGGTGCTTTTAAATGAATTTTTATTTTATTGATCAGCATAGTACCTAGAGATATTTGAAGACATGGAGCATGACCTCATGGCAGGAATGATGGATGTATCTAGAACTAGGGTTTGAAGCCTGCCTCCGATACTGGCCAGTTGTGTGACCCTAAGATGTCAGCCTCAAGACTCAGCCCTGGTCTGAGCTTCCTGGGAACTAGGCACAGACAGTAATTGCATGAGCTGGCTGGGGGCAGAGGGGAAAGGGAGAATTATTTAAAGGAAAATATTTAAGGCATTCTAACTGGGGTCTGTGTATTTCCAAGGTACTTGTGGGTAGATTTTAGGGGGTCTGGAAACTTGGACGGGAAAAAATAATCGATTTGTTTAGATAGAATTGACTTCCTTTGGCATCCTATGTATTTTATTTTACTCATTTAAAAGCGTTATCCTGAAAAGGGGTCTCGAGGCTTCATCAGACTGTCCAAGGGGTCCACGATACTTAAAAAAAAAATGAAGGACCTCTGAACTAGAGAAATGGATTTTTGTTGTATTGAATAATAATAATAACTGGAATTTATATAGCACTTTATGTTTTGCAAAGTACTTTAATAGCATTATCTCATTACAGCCCTGGGAGGTGGGTGCTATTATTATCCCCATTTTATAGATGAGGAAACTGAGGTTCAGAGAAATGATTTGCCCAAGGTCACTCAGAGAATAAGCAGGATTTGAATCCAGGTCTTCTGGCTCTTTAGTCATTGCTCATTCTGCTCATTTTCTGGTTGAATTCATGGGATCTTAGGATCGTTGATTTACGGCCGAGACAGACTTTATAACCCTCTAATTTTTTAAATTAATTTATTTTGATTTATCAACAATCACTTCCATAAGCTTTCGAGATTTAAATTTTTCTTCCCTTCCCCCCCACCTCCCTCCCCAAGACAGCTTACAATCTGATGTAGGCTATACATATACATTCCTATTAAACTTATTTCCACATTAGTGATGTTATAAGTAAGAATTACAGCCACTAGGAGGAATCACTAGAAAGAGGAAGCAAAACACAACAGAAGAAAAAAAAATAGCAAATAGTATGCTTCCATCTGCATTCAAATTCCATAGTTCTTTCTCTGGGTGTTATAACTCTCTTATTTTATAGATGAGGAAACAGACAGAGGGGGTAAATGACTTGTCCAGGATTATACAGCCATCGGCTGAGGCAGGATTGGAATTCAGGTTTTCCTGACTCCCAGGCCAGGGCTCCATCCACCTTGTCTGAAGTCCCCTTTGCCTCTATCACACTGCCCTTTGTGTGATCGCTAGTTGGGAAGGCTGTAGTGAGAGGATCATTTTTCCCGTCTGGTTTGTTGAACTTAGCAACCCTTTCTGGGATATTTCTTTGGCCCATGTTCTGGGAATCCCAGAGTGTGGGAGTGTATCCAGGAATAGGGCTGGAGCTGAGCACTTTGGACCCTTGACTGTCACCTTTAGAAGCCTGGATTCCCCCCTTTCCTCTGCCAGAGGTGTCTGTGTGTGAGGGAGTCACCCCTGTCGTCAGCAGACGGGTGACACCGTGACAGTGTCTCAGCCGGCCAGAATCCTGACTTAGCTAGCTGTTACTCTTCTCTGCAAGGTAGTTCACCAGGTATGTTAGGCAGAGATGGGGAGGAGCGGGGCAGGGTGCGGAGAGGTGGCTGGGGCTGGGAGAATCCTCCCTGAGGGGCCCCAGCCATCCCTCCCCACCTACCCCTCAAACCCGCAGCCTGCTCCTGGGGAAACTTGTTTAACCAGAGTCATTAGGGCTGGGGTGGCTTGCTAATGGCCGCATGGTGGCTGCCCATGAATCTGGGAGGAGACAGGACGAGCCCCTATTGAGGTGGGGAGAGCCACAGGTGATCTGCTCCCATCCGCAGGGCTGCAAGCCCCCCCCCCCGCCTCCCACTGAGCTGCCATGGAAATTAGAGAGGGTTTTCCCCCCACTAGTGGCACCCTCTGCTTTGGGGTGATAGGCAAGGAAACTGAGATGCTGACACAGGGTGGGGCGGGGAGAAGGAGGACAGAGAGGGTAAAGGTGAAGCCAGATTCTACCCAGAGGCAGACATCCAGTCTGCCTAGAGGGTGATTCCAGAGAAGCCAATAAGGAATCATTCCCACCCCTCCCTCCCCAAATAAAAGTAGCCCAAATACACCCTTTTCTCATCTACGCATGTTCCAAATGTCATTCAAAGCCTTACATTGTCCAAGGAATCAGGTTCAGACTGGAGGAAGCCCAGGGTCTGACTTATAAGAGAAAGTTTAGGAAGGGAGGACAGAGCCAGGAACACTGGGCACCAGTCTGGCTGAACTGTGACAATAGAGGGGAGGGACAGGACAAGAAGAGCTGAGATAGGGGATGTCCCATTGCCCCCCAAGTTCTGCCGATCCCACAGTTATCAATGATGCAGGTCACCTGAGCTGTGCTCCCTTCCCACACGGTCCCCACCTCAACCCTGACTTATCAGGGTCTTGCCCACAGCCCCACAATCCCCAACTAGACTCTCCTATCCATCATGGACCCAGTCGGACCATCACACATCAGAGAGGAACGAGGTTAGCCTCTAGGAGACTAGGCGAGAGGAAAGGAGTAGGGAAAGGAAGAGTACCCCTTCATGACAGGGACCTTGCCCTGAGCCAGAGGAGGGAACGGATGGACGCTCTCCACTTGTAACTCTGCAGGTGGCTCTGTGGGCCAATCGCCATCCAACTGGTCTTCTGGGGGCAAGAGAGCAGCTCCCAGGCTGTGTGTTCAAATCCCATAGGTTGTTTTTGTTGTTCAGTTGTTTCAATCACTTCCGATTCTCTGCGACCCCATTTGGGGTTTTCTTGGCAGAGATACTGGAGTGGTTTGTCATTTCCTTCTCCAGCTCATTTTACAGATGAGGAAACTGAGGCAGACATGGTGAAGTGACTTGCCCAGGGTCACACAGCTAGGAAGTGTCTGAGACTGGATTTGAACTCAGGTCTTTCTGACTCCAGGCTCAGTGCTCTATGCATGGTGGCACCCTCTAGCTGCCCTCTAACTTCAGAAATTATCTAATCTAACTCCTTCCTTTTACAAATAAGAAAATATAGCCCAGAGAGGTTGTGAATTACCAAAGGTCACACAGGCTGTCTGCAACAGTGATGGGCTTTGAGCATAAATTCTCTGACTCCAAGTTTAGGGTTCTTTTCTACCATCCCTGACTGCCTCTCATTCCAGAAGAGCTGGCCTGTTTTAGAAATGGGGATGCTGTGTGACTCTGGGCCCATCAATGAGGCCATGGACAGCTAAGTGGCACAGCGGACAGAGTGCCAGGCCCAGAGTCACGAAGACCTGAGTTCAAATCCCACCTCAGACACATGGTAGCTATGGTACTCTGGACAAGTCACTTAACTTATGCCTTCCTCAGTTTCCTCATCTGCAAAATAGGAGTACTAATAGCATCTTCCTCCCAAGGTTGCGAGGGTTAAATGAGTTAACATTTGTAAAGGGCTTTGCAACCCTTAAAGCCATCCATAAATGCTAACTATTGTTATCATTATTATTATTATTCACCTCTCTGTGCCTCAGTTTCCTTATTTGTAAAATGGCAATAATTCTACCTCTAGTTATTGTGAGAAAGCCCTTTGCAAACCTTAAAGTTGTGAGATGTGTTTTTGTGAGTATGCACACCTGCATACTTGTGGTTGCTTGAGTTCAGGGGCAGGAGAGACATGAGAGCTGAGGCTGGGAGGCGCCTTCCTGCCCTTGGAGAATGTAGCACCTGGCGGGCAAGGAAGGAAGCAGGGATGCTAGGTCTAAGGAGTGGGAGGGAGGCCTCCCCAAATTCTCCAAGTAGAAGAGATGATTTCCTGCCCTGGGATCGTCAGTCTGTCATCACAAAGGTTGGCTTTGAGATCTCCCCACTCTGTGTCAGACAGGAACGTCAGGTTGGGTCAGTTCCTTTGCCAGGAGACAGGAAATGTACCTTTCAGAAAATCCTAGACCTTGTAAAACCTGCCCTTGCCCTGCCCAAACCCCCACTACCACCCCAATGCATGGAAGGGCAAGAGCCAGCCTACGGGCTGAAGAAAGTGGGGAGAGGAAGGGAGAGGTAGGGAAGGCGATGGGGCAGCCCGAGGCCTTCATCCTGGATGTCTGTATGCATTTCCAGTCAGAGAGGAGGCCCATAGCTATTTTTCATATTCCCAACACCCCTTCCAAAATGCTCTGTGTCCCACAAAACACCTTCCACACTGCCCTGTGAGGGATAGAGTACATGAGGCTCAGCCACATCAGAACTGAGATTTGAACCCAGACCTCTCTTTCCTGCAAAGCTAGTACTTTTTC